ACCACGAAGGCACACTAGGAAGGTAGAGAAATACCTTACATACTAATTAAAAAACTGAAAAAAAAAATGAATGCTATGCCTCCTTCCAACTACATTTTCAATTTATACTATTTTAGTTGTGTAGTTAATAAATGATTGAATCATGGATTTATGTGTTAATAAAATACTGTCATCATATATTTTTATATGTTAAAGTCCTAATTAATAATAATATACAAATCATGATAACATAGCTAAAAAATAATAAAAATATGAACTAGCTTTGTATGCACTGAGCTGAGTAACCACAGCTTCAAAAAGTAACCACAGCTTCAAAAAGATATTGTTCTAAATGTAAATAACACTGCTTATTATGAAGGTTTAAAATGTATGAAACAAGTTAAAAATTACATCTAAAATTAAATAAAATTCATATATAGGGTCAGAAATATAGAATTAACTAAAATTAAAAGTATATTTGAAATTATGAAAGCTAAACAAATTAAATAGGCTATAAATTTAATAAGTCATGTACATAGTGTGATATAGCAAATTAGTTAAAATTCAGAATATGTTGGAAATTAAAACGTTAAAAAATAGAAAAGAAGTTAAAATTTACCTATTAAATAAAAGTCACTATATGAGTGAAAATTAGGATTAATTAAAATAGATATTGGAAATTATAAGTTAAATGTATGAGAGAAATCAAGTAAAAATCATGTTAACATGAAATATAAATTGGTTAAAAATAAAGATATTAAATATAGTGAAGGTTAAAATGTACAAAACACTAGAAATGTATACCTAAATTAAATACAAGTCTCTATATGATCAGAAACTATAAGAAATAAGTTAAAATACAGAATATGTGAAGATCACTAACGCTAAAAGGAACGAAAAAAGTAAAAAATTACATCTAACATTAATAATATAACAAACAAAAATGTGTGTTTTAGTAATTACACACGTAAAATATAACAATAAGTTAAAAGTATGGCTTAAAAAGTATGAAAAAACTCTGGGGTAAATGAATTTATAATAAAATGAGTAATGTAATAAGATTAAGGAAAGTTTTATCTAGTTTATGAAAAGAAGAGTTAAGAAATAGGTAAAATCTGAGTGTATAAGGTCGCTCAATCATACATTCGAAAATAATCGTCGTTAAGGGTACCTAGGAAATAATCATCATATGCGTAGTAAAACAGTTGGAATACAAAGAAAAACACAAAGGCTAAAAATTTATTAACGAAGGAAATAACCTCCGGTATAAATCAATAAAATATAATTGTGATGACATGTAGCAGTTTTGTACATATTCAGTCAAAGGATAAATACAAGTAAGAAAATAATTATCTTCCAAAAGGGTTATAGTACTATACTGTGAAGGAAACATTTTATTGTATAGTAATTTCTGTTTAAAGAAAATCAAACACGTACTTGATATATGTTTTTAAGAACTCAATTAAGTAAGTAAGTTCACAAGTTACCACATGGTTATAAATGCCTAAATTATCAAATTACGAAATAGTAGTACTCAATATTATTTGTATTTTAATAAGCTTTTTATTTGGTTTAAAATTTAACTTTATTGTCTTTATGAAACCCATCATATGTAGCAATATAGACATTCAACCTTAGGCTACATGCAAGTAAGAAAATGATTAATTTCCAAAGAAGTTATACTGTTAAGGAAATATTTTATTATTACTAATATCTGTTTCAGGAAAACAACTGTATCCACTTAAAACACCTACTTGATATATGTTTTTAAGAATTCATTACAGATAAGCAAGTTTATAAATTCTCATATAACTAATAAATGTCTAAATCACCAGATTAAAAAAAAAAAAAAAAAAAAAAAAAAAAAAATCCTAAGCACACATCTTTTTTCTGTGACATAGCAGCTACCCTACTCCCATCCACCTCCCGATAAGGCTCCCTATCCCCATTTTCAGATAAGCCTCCCTCCCACGGCTGACCATTCCTTCTCGGGAGTTCCCTCTCAGCTCTTAAGCTCCCGAGCCAGAACTATCATAAAGCCCCTACTATCGATGGAAGAAATCCCAACATGTAGATTTCGTAGCACTGACCTCATTTTTATACAAAGCGAATCTAATAGGAATGTGTTGCTTTAAAGAGTCATAAGGTTTTTATGAAGCAAGAGACATGAAAAATCAGCAATGCTCTTGCTGGGACTCGAACTTTTACACGAGTGTGCAAATACAAATACCAGCCGAGTGTGCTCCCACGTTACACCATGAAAGCCTGCAGAAAGGAGGGAGAAAATACCTCTTCCATTACCATTATTTAAATATTTGACTAATGACACAATTTACAACTAAGTGCGTGTGAGCTCATGAATCAAAAGTATTAAATAATACATGTTGATTCTTAGAAATTATAAGTAGAAAAGGATGTCCAAAAAAGTAATCAAATTTCGAGTTATTTTGAAAATATTTTCTACAACGATATACTGGGTGGTTCAAAACTATATGTCAAAAATGTAATGGTAGGTAGAGGGGACCTAAATAAGCAGATTTCTTAAAGGAATGTGTGTGCGGTAATCCCGTGTTCAGCCAGTAGAAAGCACTGATGAGTGCAACGTGTAAAAGCTAGCCCTGCTAGCGAATGAGTGCATCAAATAAAAGCTAGCGTGGACAGTGGATGAGTGCGGCTAACTGGATTCTTCATTTCCCCCCCAGATCTTGAGCACTGTGCATCGTTACACCAATGCGGAGCTTACCGACATACATTTCATGTATGGGGGTGCACAAGGAGATGAATTAGCTACTCAAAGAATGTACAGGGAGGGATTCCCAGAGAGTTAAGCACGGGTGGATCGTCTTGTGCATCCAGGTGTTATACTGGCATGGGAAGAATCTAAAAATTCCTGCAGTGGAAGAAATACTAAACACAGTAAGGGATACTCCTTCGCCAAGCTTGAGAGCTGTAGGAAGTGCACTGGGTGTGACCCATACAGCTGTTTTGAGGACTTTACTTATAGGAGGACTTACTTACATAAAGACGGGACACATCCGTATCATTTACAGAGTGCAAGCGATGACTCAAAAATTTTTCCTGCTGCAGATGCTTTATTCACTGATGAGGCTACCTTTATGTGGTCGTGTATGTTTAACATTCATCATTCTCACCTGTGTGCTCATGATAACCCACATGGCACAATAACACATGCCTACCAAGAAAGGTTTTCCATTAATGTTTGCACAGGCATTGCGCACGATAACTTAACATGACCGTATATTCTACCCAGTCATTTAACTGGCCACATGTACAGCATCTTCCTACAGGACGTCTTACCTGAACGTTTCGTCGATGTTCCTCGAGCTGTTTATGGATGAATGTGGTTCCAGCATGGTGGAGACCCAGCTCACTTCAGCTGGAATATCAGGAAATCACCTGGACATGTCTACAGTCAGAACTGGATAGGACGGGGCGGACCAGTTCCCTGGCCACCGCGTTGTCCTGATTTAACCTGCTTAGATTTCTTCTTTTGGGGTCATATTAAAAAGCTCGTGTACGTGGTCACATCTGCAGAAAATCTTGTTGCCCACTTGTCTGTTGCTGCTGAACATATGCTCTACATGCTTGACGTCTTTTCTAATGTATGCCGATCCGTGCACTGCCATCGCTGTTGGTGGCCGCTCTTTTGAGCACCTATTGTAAAATGTTAGTACTTTTTTCCTTTTTTCTTTACTTATCATTTCAGTTTCCTGTGATTCATACTGCTTTACGTGCTAGCGCTTTAATGTGGCATTACCGCACATGTATTTCTATTCAAAATCTTCTTATTGAGGTTCCCTCTACCTGCCTTTACATTTTTTGACATATAGTTTTGAACCATCCTATATGCTAGGTAGAGCCATCTCATGAATGTAGTTCATTATTAATAAATCATCATTTTGAGGAAGTGGATTAAAATTTAACGTTTCTTTTTCATCGATACCATTCTGCCGTTCAACTAATGTCATGTGATGATTATATAGTATTTAGTCAGAGGACATTAAAACAATTTATTAGACCAAGCTGTTTAGACCTTCCGGTAGATATATAGAGATATTAGGTATTTTTTGAAAGGCAGGAGAGATGAAAAATGAACATTACCCTCGCCGGGACTCGAACCACTAATCTCTCAAATACGCTCCAAGTGTGCTGACCACTACAACACGAAGGCATGCTAAGAAAGCAGGAGAAATACATTATAGATATTAATAGAATGTCATTAAACTTGGGCAGGAGAATAGATCACTAGAACAAAAAGAGAAGAAAAAAAGCAATGGAAAAGTCTTACTGGTAAAAAAATATTATGGATACATCCCTAAGAATAATTATAACTATCTCTATGGTCTCTCATTCTTCATAATGTTCAACACTATAATTTTTTTAATATAAATGATGAACAGCGTAAGAGACAAATAATAATGTTACGAAATGTACAGGAGCGGTAAGATGGCTTCCCCACAAAGCAGGTTTAGGGTTGCCATAAAATAACAAGGAAGATAGGGTTGTCACATTTGTAGAGAAATCGCCCATTTGGTGATATTTGGTTACAAAACTGGCAATATGCCATGGACAGAAGGAGAACCTTCTGGAACAAATTCTTACCGGTTTTAGCCTAGAATGTTCTCGAACACAAACCAAAAGCTATATAAACCCTGCTGCTCTGCAGTCACTTAGTATTGAGTGTGTGCCTCATCTAGCAAGCTGATAGTCAAGTCATTGAGTGTGCGCCTTGAGAGTGCGAGATAGTTAGTCTCGAGTTAGCAGTCCGTGCGAAGTCGATCGAGTTGACAGCTGGGCAGCGAGTGCCAAGTGGGTCATCGAGTGCATCGAAGATTCTCTTAGTGTATCGCGATTAGTGCATCATCGAGAGAGTGTGTTAAGCTCCGAGAACGACTGAACCGAAGAGTCGGGAGCTGTGCTCTGTGTGTCATCGAGTGCGTCGCGAGTTTTAGCGTGGAGAGTCTCGAGAGTACGTGGAGTTCTGAGAACGACCAAACAAAGTCGAGAGCTGCACTCTGATGCTTTGCAGTGAAGCTGTCTCCATTGTTATACCCTGATAGCATGAAGGCTGTGTCGCTGATTGTGTCAGCGTGTGTATAGTAGTTCTTCGAAGACTGTTAAACGTGATTTTGGAGCTGTCCTGATTAATATTGGCTAAATAAAGTGTGTTTTGATATTCCATCAAGTGCTGTCGTCATTATTCACTCCAAATCTACGAACCCCGTGCGAACGTGAAGGAAGAAAATAACATAACAACTGGTGTCAGAGAAAAAAATGTAACAACTGGTGTCTGAGAAAAAAACGTAACAACTGGTGTCAGAAGTGGGATTTGCGAATGAATGTCAGTGACCCGCCTGCAGAGGAAAGCCATGGCGGAGGAAACAAAGACTTTGATGGACTTCTTCGCTAAGATCAAAGCCGCACTGAAAGAGATGAAAGCGGGACTGAAAGATAAATAGCCCGGCGAGAAGAAATAAATGTCGGCCAGGAAAAGGTGCGACAGCAACTCCGACAGGTGAAAGGGGAACTTACAGAAGAAACTGGAGCCATAAAAGATGATGTGGCAATGAGAGAGTGGCATCAGAAGAATCAAAGGATGAAGAAATGAAGGAAGTGGCTAATGAACTGCCTGAGAAAGATCAAGAAACGGTGGATGAAACATCCAACAGGATTAAAGGAAAACAACGAAAACATGAAGAAATAAAAGACGGAAAAGAAGCTTTTGATTCACAAGTGCCTGAAGTGGAAGAAAGTGAAAATGTGACTGTTAAGTTTGTCAAAACTGATTGTGAAGTTACGATGTCACAGACAGTAAGTGTTGAACCATTTGAAAGTGCATGTGATGTAGAGATGAGAGCTGCTGAAGTGCAGCTTAAGCAGTGCACTCCAGTATTGCAAGAAAAATGCAACAATAATTTTAAAAAGCATTCTTAAATATTTGATTACTTGTATAGGACGACTGTATAAATTAATTTATAGTGTAATTCTATTTTTTTCTTTTTAAATTTTAGGTAAGTCATAAATGTTTTTTTAAAGACATTCTGCTGCAACAGTAGTGATATTTTTAACCCTTAGAATAATTCGTAAAATAGTTTCAAGTTCCCCCCCCCCTCTTCACCCGTAATTTATTGTATTTCATAGATTTTATGCTCTTTTCTTCCTTTTTATTTTGTTTTGCAAATACTGCTTTATTTTACAATCCAGCAAAGAATAAATGCATCGGTGATATTTTGTCAATAAGCACTGCTTGTTTCATGTCTTTGAGTCCCATCGCATTTGTGCTTTTTCATACTTTATGTTTTGAAAATGTGTATGTTAGAGCATTTCATGCTCTCTTTACGATGATCATGAAATTAGTTCAATTAATAATCTTACCAATATAATATTTAGCAATCATACGTATAATTTACAATTCTGATTTTCCAAGATATCACAAAGCCCACGAGATTTTGCAAGAGAATATATGATTTACTTTGCAGCTTAGTCACACTTGATCAAACAAATTATAGGCTTGTAAGCAATTGTTGAAGAGTAATTTAGTCACGTAATTTTTTTTTAATATTAATATGCAAAATGTAGTGTTGATGCTAAATAACGCATAAATTTTAGACTTGATTTTATTTTAATTATGTAAATAAAGAAGTTTTGACTTAATATACATTTACCTTTTTTTATCTCATGAATTTTGCGGGTGAAAAGTTTTACATTAAACTGGAAATAATGTTTATGTATTCTGCAGTAAAGATTTACATTTATTCATTTAATGATTTATGTGTATTGAAAATTGTTTTTTCATTTTATGGAAAATTTATGCAGCAAAAGTGAATTTAGAAATTTCTGCATTGGTTACAATTTTTACCCTTCGGCAGAGATTGGTATACTATAAGCAAAACACATTTTGTCGAATGTCGAATTACAGCATTGGCGTAGAACAGTGTTTGTTTATTTAAATGACGTTCCCATCATTAACTTTTGCTAACTTTTTTTAGGATCCTAACGTGTTCAAAAATTCTAAAATATTCTAAAATACGTACTATGTAAATTATATCCTTATGTGTTACATGGATATGATTAATTGAATACAAACTCAACCAAAATACTTACATGTCTTTTTACTAATATTTCTAGTACAGTCAAAAGTCGTTAATTCGGACACCGAGAACCTGGAATGATCTATAATCCGGACAACACAGCTAAAAACTTTCTGCGCATGTGCCGCGTTGACACATGCACATAGGCATTTACGCGTGCGCATAAGACCTTTACGACTGCGCATATGAAAAAAAACGTATTCTGTGAAAACGTATTCTGCGCTTGTGCACACGCATATGCGCAGAATACGTTTTCACGTACGCGTTTTATGTATAACAGACGGTATAAGCTAAAATTACCTAATTATCTATTTCAGTTAATGTTGATGATTACATTGTTCCTCTTCGAATTGGATCCGGCTTATTATTTTTTGCAGACTGTAAGAGCAATTTCATAAAAGTAAGCTTCAACTTTTGATTATGTCAAATAGAATTTCTGATATATATTTACTAATATGTAATTTGTATCTACAAAGCGAAAGTATGTTTTGAAATCTGAAATCTGTTTATCAATTTCACACTGCGGATTGGAAGTTGATGTGTCAGCACTATCCTTATCTTCAGGGCAGATGTTTTTATTTTATTTGGCTTATAATTCCTTACTAAGTGTAGTATTTCATCTCGATGTACTCCATCTTTGATATGATTTAAATCAAGTTCCTCGTCATTATAATTCGCTTCCGATAGTGAAGAAAGTGACCCAGAGGTTATTGAAAATGAAAACATTTCGATTGACAAATTAGTCGGTATTCTCAACACAGCAATTATAGGACTTTAACAGCGGAACTTTGTAACTAAACAAGAAATTATGTCTGTTTAATAGAATTAAAGAGAAAGTATTATCACATGAAACGAAGCAACTTACATTGAAAGAAATGTTTAATAAAGTAAACAAATAAATATTAAGCTTTTTCTTTTTATAAATTTTGATACCCTTTAGATCATAATTGTTCTTTATTTCATAAA